CACACACACACACACACACACACACACCCCACCCCCACCCACCCACTCACCCTCATCCTATCACTCTGTTCCTCTAGACAATCCTGACTACTACACTGTCCTTGGAAATAACGTCCATCAATTGGATGTTAAATAAGCTATGGCAGAACTATGCAATGGAGCAAAACAGAGGCACGAAGCTGACATCATAGAGCAGATGTGTTGGAGAAACTGTTCAGGGAAAATAAAAATACAAAATAACATGCTTCAACTCTAAATTGCTGCCAGCCAGGGTGGGGGGAGGCCAAAATGGCATCACTGTTTATGTCTAGACTTTGGTGGTCAGTGAGAATGCTTTTCCTTCATGGTTTTTGTGTCTGGTGACACACTTTTGGTTGTAGAAATGAGAAGAGTCTATTCATAATACCCAGGAAGCAGAGGCCAGGGGTTCTGCTAACTGCCTGCCAATGTAAGACACTATATAATCTAGTCTAAAACATCAATACTGGCCTATTGAATTTGTTACTATAGGTGATGAAATCACAGAAGGTTACAACTTTCTTTTTGTTGGTTTGTGTTTTCTATAACAAGCAAACATATTTGTACAATCTTTATTTTTAAAGGTGCATTACATATTTCTGAAAAAAATTGAGGGAAAACCTGAAGTTTTGCTATGAAATAAGTCATGGAAAACTGTTTCAGTACTTGCTCAGGTTTTCTTGCTATAATACTCTCTCTCTAAACCCATTTCTTTAAACTAGAGGCCCAATTAACATAGCAGATGACTTACTGACTGTCTCTTACTTAGGCTCCCAGAGGAGGCCTGAGCCTTTGGACATAGCCAGTCTGTCATAAAATCAGTGAATTTTCTTCTTAACTTTGCCACATATATGATCCTCTTGGAGGATCTTGCCAGAACCAAAAATGTAGCTCAGGTATCTGGCCAGAAGACACAGGTATCTGGGTATTGTACATCAGCAATCCTAGGCTACAGATCCTCCTGTGGTCTGAAAATCTTTGCAAGAGAAGGGCTCCTGTGGTCATCAAAGTATGTTGACTTGGAAGTTTAATCACTTGAAGAAGTGGTTTATTGTCCCCACAGACTCATCACTGTGAACATTAGACCTAATTTGTAGCTGAAATAGTGATGATTTAGTGGAGCCTCTGGATTTGATGGCTGTAGTTTCTGGGCTACCAGTTACAAATGAAACAAAGAAGCAATCATTTCTGCCATGAAATCGATCATTTCTTCCAATTCCCAGGAGCCAAAAAGTCTTATAGGGGTTGGATTTTCCTTTGACCTTCAAACTATTGGAAACTCTGATGTTATAGATATGGCTCATCATGAGAAAAAGGAATCCCAGAGTTGCAAGGGACTTTGGTTAATTTTCTGGGGGGGGGTGTGTGTGCGTGCTCTAGAATACTCTTCTTTCTAAGAGAATAAGAGGGGCAAGTCTCACAGAGAGATTTGCTTCTTGCTTTCTAGACAAGTTGAGCCTGAATGCTGCCAGACAGTGAGGACAAAAGGGGAGCTGAGGCCATTGATGGCTTAGAAGAAAGCTTAATCGTAGAAACTAATAGAGAAAAAAAAGGAAGTAGATGTATGTATGTATGTATGTATGTATGTATGTATGTATGTATATATGATGTATATATGTATATGCTTATATGGGGGTTGCATATGTGCCAGACTGAGCAGGTGGGATTCAGAGGACAGCTTTTGGGAGCCAGTTCTCTTCTTCTATAATGTGGACTCTGGGAACTAAACTCAGGCCATCAGGCTTTTAATCAAAGACCCTTACCTGCTGAGCCATCTTGGTGTCCTCTGGTCACATTTTTTAATTATTGATCCATAGCAGCAGTGAGCTGAGAGAAGGCACCCCTGTGATCTCCCCAAGGCAACTTGGAAAGGAAAATGACCTCCATTTCTAACCCTGAAAGGCATTCTGGCTGATATGGTTTGACTGGTTCCTCCATTTTCTTTTGGGGCAAAGTCATCCCTAGTCATGTCTCTAGTGATCTAGTCCACATGGAGCAAGTCTCTGAGCCTCATCAGAGGACGCAAACATCGCCATGTCCCAGAAGACAGAACAAAGAACCATCTACAGGGAGGAGGTGGAAACTGTTGACAACTCAAAGGCATGAGGACTTGGTTTTGAAGAAACAGCTGCTGAAAAAGAGAGTGCATTTTTGCATGCAGCCTCACTCCTTTGGGTGGATGTCTCAGCAATATTGCAGTTCTTGGGATGAAAAGGGAAGGTGTAGGACTGTCACCAGTCTACAGAGACAAAGTTGCTCCAATTTGGGATTCACTATTATTTGTAGCTTTTGTGAATATCTCAGAACAATAAAACAGAAAAGCAAACATCATGTAGCTAAAATGACGAGTACTCTTGGGAGCCTGGATTCCCCACTCCCACTTCTACAGTTTTTAGTCTCCGGTGGCTGTAGTGTGAGGAAGTCACTTTGTGCAGACAGTGAAGTATATAACAACAGCCTGGAACTTTTCCATGGTGCTGAGGCAGAACAAAATGCCAGAGGAAGTAATATTAGTCAGTATTTAGTCACGTTGAGAACAATGGGATAATTTAGGTTGGCTTGACATCACTCGCTTGCATTTGCTATGGCCAACAGGAAACCAGTTCTGTTGTGCAATTTCCTCCATGTTTGAAGAACTCAAGACCCACCCCCCAACTCCCATTACAACACAGACAAGACCCCCTTCTCCTCCAATTGCAATACAGAATATAAAATGGTTCTTCACTGCCACAAGGGAAAATACATTTGCATACAAACTAACAATGATTGGGGGCTAGGGACAATGCAGTAGAAAATAATCTCAGAGGTTACAAAAGACAAGGGTATATTGATCCATCGTGCTTTCCTCCTAAGGAAATGTAACTGACATCTCCCTGCTCAGTGACGTTACAAGAGACAGTGTTCTAAGCAACCCTTATTCATCCATGTGTTTATTCATTCACAACCCATGTAGCACATGTTCATTCAAGACCTCTTACATTATCTGGCATACAGGGCTGACTAAAACACAATTTGTCCAGATGGAAGTTTAGGAGAAGAAAATAAATAAAATTTTTAAAAATAGCTTTTTAAAAATATGCACACACACACACACACACACACACATATTGCCTGAGAATATGTAAGAGTAACAGTACTGTCATGGGGTAAATACACCTATCATTAAACCATAAATGCCACGAGCCATGAACATTTTCCATGAAAAGAAAATGCTACAAAGAAAATTGGAAGATTTCAGGCCATGCTGAGGAAGTTTTTTTGTTGTACTTTAAAGAAAAGAGGATAGAGGGAAAGATAAGTAGGTAGACAGAAACACACACACACACACACACACACACACACACACACACAGTAACATGTATGGTATATGAACACGCCAAGCTTGTCATTAAGAATAGTAGAGCTGGGCATTGGTGGTGCACACCTTTAATCCCAGCACTCGGGAGGCAGAACAGCTGGGCATGGGGTGCACAACTTTAATCCCAGCACTCAGAAGTCAGAGGCAGACAGATCTGAGTTTTAGGCCAGATTGGCCTATAGAGTGAGTTCTGGAACAGCCAGAAAACAACAATAACAACAATAATAATATAAACAGGAGAATAGTGATGTCCAATTTGTGCTTTTGGAATTCCAGGCTGAAATTCTTTTTTTTTTTAAACATTCTTTTCTTTTCTTTTTTTTTTTTTTTTTTTTTTTTGAGACAGTGTTCCCCTGTGGTTTTGGTGGCTGTCCTGAAACTGTCTCTTGTAGCCCGGGCTGGTCTCAAAACCACAGAGCCCCCCCTGCCTCTGCCTCCCGAGTGCTGGGATTAAAGGCGTGTGCCACCACCACCCAAGGCTGGAATTCTTATACACTATGCCAGAGGCTGAGGAGCATGGTAAGTGTCAGGGAAATATAGAAATTTTGTGATCCATACTGAATGCTTTGCTTATTTTCCAATTGCTCTTATTCTCATTTACAAAAGCAGTTGCTTATAGGAGGATATATGTACACACACACACACACACACACACACACACATACACACACGTGTATGTGTGTGTATGTGTAATATATAATATGATATATATATATATTCCTAACCTCTATGAATATTCTAAATGAAACACACGTATATAAAGCTTAAGTGCTAATACCCACATATAAGAGAAAACATGCAATGTTTGTTGTAACACGAATAAATAAATGACCCAGAAACTGATATTGGGATTCAGGCTTCAAGCTGAATATCAGAAAAGCAAAGCAGCTGGCCACTAACTTCTTACCTCTACCTCAGGCTGAATAGATTGATACTGTCTCCATTGAGCTCTCACCAAGTCTCAAAATATAACCTCTCCTCACTGTGACTGGGGAATGAATGCCTTTCTTAGACCTTGCTTTTGTCTAATATGCTTCCCTAATGCTGGGATTAAAGGTGTGAGCTATAGGACTAGCCAGAAGCTAGGAGGTGGTGGTACACACCTTTAATCCTAGGACTCTGGATTAAGAGATAGACAAATCTCTCTGAGTTCAAGGACACCCAGATCTACACAAGAGTGAATCAGTCTAAAAGAGAATTATAGCTCACACCTTTAAGCTCTCAAGGCTCAGGGATCTGTGCAGAAGAGGAGGCTGAAAAATTGTAAGAGCCAGAGGGGACGAATGACTCCAAAGAATCACTGTCTTCCAGATACATCAGGACTGACATAGATGGAAGTTTCTGTCCCGCCTGGGACTTATATTAATTATAAGCTCAGGCTTCTTATTGGCTAGCTGTTTCTTAATTAGTAAGCCATTTCTATTAATCTCTGTATCTTCACGTGGTCTTGACTTACAGATGATGTCCAGGTCTCTTGCTTACTGGGCAAGCTACATGGCATCTCTCTGACTCTGCCTAATACCTTTCTTTATCCCTGTTTGGATTTCCCATCTGGCTAAATCCTGCCTGTCCATTGGCCAAAACAGCATTTTCATCAACCAATAAGAGAAACATATATTCACAGCCTACAGGACATCCCTCATCAGACTGATGAACATATGAAACAAAGAAACCGTGATAGCATGCACAAGAAAGACCTACGTAATTTCAAGTCAGACAAAATCCTGATGAACATTAACAAGGAAGCAAACAAATAGAGACAAGACAAAACCTCCAAATACTTGGGGTGAGTTTTTTTTTTCTCTCTCTGAGTTTGATTACTATAAAATAGCAATTCATCTTAGTTATTTATTTTACTTAAATATTTTATTTAATATTCTACATACAGGTAATGTATTTGGATCCAGCCTGCCCATTCTAACCTTCCCTAGTGCCCCAATTCATATTAGTTTTAACTCTCATTTCCCAAGACTAACTTCATTTTTCTTTCCTCTCTCAATTGGTGATGTATGCTGCTTCTCCCACGAAATCTTTGTGGCTATTATGCTATTGAATTTTCTTTGCCTTAGGAATTTGTTAATTTTCTGTCAGTCTGATGTCTAGAAAAGAGCTTTTTCCCCAAAAGTTATTGACTCCTTTCATTAACTAAATTTCTTATGTTTCATGGAGCTTAAACTGTACATTTCTTTCATTTACAGCTTTTTAAATTCATATTTTGTTTAAGAACTCCTTTGTAACATGAAGGTCATAATGATTTATAATCCAGATCTTTGATGTGTATGCATGCATTAAGTATTGGGTATGTTTGTTCCCAGGCAGACACTCTTCTCTTCCTGCCCTATCCAGTGCCCAGTAATACCTTCCCTATGAATTGTCAGATTACCATAGACAAATGACCATGCTTCATTTTTTTTCAGTTTGGTTCCTTCACCCATTTGTCTGTTCTAATACAAGCCCTGCTGTCTCTTAAGGACTATGGCTTCATAGAACGTCTCATTTCATGATGAAAATGATTCCTCCTGTCATTCAAAATCATATCAGAATTCCACTAGGTCTATGGATCATTTTAGTGAAAATTATACTATCGTGGTGTTTTATTTCTGTCTGTGAACATGATGCACTGAGCCACTTGTGTCTAATTCATTTCAGTGTTGTTTTATAATTACCTCCATCAATGTTGTCTCCATTTAAACAAATGATATTCATTGGTCATAAGTCACATTTTTTGTTCCGATTATATATAGTTCTTTCAAAATACATAACAAGGTCTGTGCCTGTTTTGCCCACACATTATTGCTTATATACTGATGTAGTATATTTTGCATACATTGTATATAAAAAACTTGATAGTCCCTTGTAAATGCTTCTTGCATATTTTTAGGAGTTCTTGTAAACTTTCCTACAGTTATAATACCTATAATGAAGAGTGCTTTGGTTTCATACATTCTACACTTCCATAGTTTGTTTGTGCCTCTTTAAGTGTTAAACAGATCATGGTATTTAGTTCAAGATTGAATTGGTGTGTTCTTTTCTGAGGAAGGCCACCTCACCCATTCCCAGCTTTCTCCAGTTGCCTATAGTTCTTTGTGTAGGGTTGAGACCTTATGGAATTTCTCATCCAGTTTTGGCGCCAAACTGACAAACCATGGAGATCCTGTGGCTATGTTTCTACAGGACCAGTCCTTCCTTTCATGTTCTCCAGGTCATAGATGGAGTAGATATTGGGGTGTGTCTATTCAAAGCACTGGATGTGGGCCAGACTGGTAACTGAGTTGGTCAGTCCCAGCCTCCACTCAAACCACCCCACTTAGGCAAGGGGTGGAGCCAGCTCTCCTGTGCCCAGGTTGTTGGGGTCAGCTCTTCTGTGCCTGTGGTAAGAGATGAGGCTAGCTTTTCCATGACAGCTCATCAGGGTCAACTCTCCCACTGCAACTGCCAGTATGGGGCAGAGAAAGATCTTTCAGGGCCAGTGAAGAGTAGGGCCAGACCAGCAAAGCCCTTGGATTGCAACAGGCATGCTCCCCATCTTTTCTCATCTCCCATGTTGTAGGACCACTGACCCAGACATGATCCTCTGCAGTTCAGGCCCAGATGATACCATGGCCCTGGGTGACAGTGTGGGATACCCTGATTTGCATGGCCCTGGAGATGGTGTGGCCCTCACACACCAGTACAGCCACGGGTTGCAGCCCAGATCCAGGGCATCTACATGGCGTTAAATGCAGACCCTGGCTGTTGTAAGTACAAGGACCTAGACAAGGCCCTTGGCAGTAGCTTAGACCTGGATGTCACCACAGCCCTGGAAAATCATATGGTTCTAGAAATATAGCAATTTCTTTTAGATTTTCCAATTTCATGTAATATAGGCAATTTTAAATGTTTGGTTATTTCCTCAGTGTCATTAGTATTTACTGTATAATCTCTTTTATATCTCTAACTTTATTAACTTACATATTTTTTCTCTTTTGGATAACTTGGACAAGGAATTGTTAATCTTGCTTATTTTTCCAAAAAACAAACAACAAAAAAAACCAAACCCTTCTTTTCATTGATTGCTTGCATTGTTTTATTCAGTTTGATTTCATTAACTATTGCCTTAATCTGAATTGCTTCTTGTCATCTACTGCTTTGGTTTTGGATTGTTCTTGTTTTTCTAAAGTGCACCATTATTTATTTGAAATATTTTTAATTATTTTATGGAGACAGTACTATAAAATTCCCTTCTACGAGTGCTTTTATTGTGTCCCATAGATATATTTTGATATATTGTGCTTTTATTTTCATTCAATTCTAAGAATTAAAAATTTCCTCCTTAATTGTTTTCAGTGACCCACTCACAATTCAACAATGTGTTATTTAATCTCCATGCTTTTATGTGCTTTATATAGTTTCTGTTGCTATTGATATCTACTTTTATTCTGTTGTTGTTAGCTAGAATAGAGGATGTTACCTCAACATTCTTATATTTATTGAGGCCTGCTGTATGACCTAGGATGTAGTATATTTTGGAGAAAGTGTATTTTTATTGTTTGGATGGAATGTTCTATGGGAATATGCTAGGTTCATTTGGTTTATGAATTCATTTAACTTCTATGCTTTTCTGTTTATTTTTTGTTGCACTGACCTCTGTTGTGGTGAGAGTGGATTGTTAGAATCTCTCAATATCATTATTTGGTGTTATTTGTGGCTTCATATATAGTAGCATGCATTTTATTAGATTGGGTTCACTTATGTTTGGTGCATATATGTTTAGAATTGTAACATCAACCTGATGAATTGTTCTCTTAATGAGTATGAAGTTACCTTCTTTAATTCTTCTGAAATTTATATATATATATATATATATATATATATATATATATATATGCTTGTTTTCCCATTTGCTTGGAATAACATTTTATTCTTTTATCGACTGATAGTGTCTATCTTTGGTAGTGAGATATTTGATATTTCTTGGAAATAGCAAAAAGTTGGAACTTATTTTCTTTCTTTTTTTCTTTTCTTTCTTTCTTTCTTTCTTTTTTTTTTTTTTTT